ATCAAAAGAATTACAGATGTTGAAAATAAGTGGCACCCTAATATATATATATATATATATATATATATATATATAATAGGTACAATAAGTAAAAGTGCTGAAGTATATGAAATTATATGAATAGTATCAATAAATAGCCCACATTATTACAGCATGTTAGTCGCAAGTATACATTTGTTGATTTTTTTTTTTTTTCAATTGAATGGACGTAGCTTTTTACACTAAGAACGTTTTAGAGTTCGGTTGAATCAAATAATTTGATACTTCATTATGATATCCGATGAAGAATAATGTTGCAGATTTGTTTATAATTATAATATTTAGTTTGTTGTATAGTTAATTATTATTTACAATCCAAGATGCCCTATTGATAATGCGAGGAATATATCTTCGCATTATCAACAATATAATCAATATATGATAGAAATGTTTTTGTATTTGAAAGTTTGTAGATCCTCAAAATAAAATTACATAGTGACATTGGTTAAAAAAACGTTTATGTATTTTAAAAAGATTCGAATTATGGAGACGAGAAGAGAAATACGTTAAACTCTATTTAAATTAAGAATATGGTGAACACTCCTCAAATCTCGTGCATCAAGTGAAGCTTGTAATGTTGCAGAATTTATACAAGTTTTTTTATATATTTAAATCTTATAAATTAGATGTGTGTGCAATAGGTGTAGAGTATTTTCATAATTTTGTATATGATAACCTCCACTTGTCAACCGGTCCGTTATCTGTCATCATCAGCTGACCGTACACTGTGCACCTATACCAATATTGTAATGTCCCCTCAATGAACGTGTTCAAAGTTGGCACCACCACCACCCAGCGTCACGATCACCGGCCACTACACAACTGCCGCTACAACATTTTTTTTTTCCACCTATACTGCCGAGGCGACAAGTTGTCCGTTGGTGTGTTTCTGTAAAAACCACGTTTTTGTATTTTTTTTGTCCTCCGTTTTTTTTTTTAAAATAAACGTCGAGTCGACCTGCCGTCTACTGTGGTGTCAACCAGGTTGTATTTTTTTTGTCCTCCGTTTTTTTTATTTTAAACAAAACGTCGAGATGGTGATGTGAAGCGCAACTATGGCCGGTGGTGGGCCATCACTTCTCAAAACTATCAACAAGTACAACATCAATAAAACCCCCTTTTACCCCCTTTTAATTTGTGTATCAAGCACCTCCTTTTCTTTTTTTCTTTCTTCTTTTATATGAATATTTTTATCTCTTTAATAGTAATTATAAATTTTTTAATTAAATAATTAAAAAAATGTTGTTATATTATACATGGCCTCTTTTTTTTCTCTATACTTTTCCCTCATTTTCATTAATATTGGTTTTTTTTTGTTTTTATCAAAACCTAGTAGCTCCGTCAGCAAGTAATATCTTGTTTGGCGCGGCTACTAGGTCACTGTCCAGTGTTCCCCCTGGGCAGTGGGTAATTAGTAGGCCCTCTGTTTGGCTGAAACCTTACACATGGCGACCGTGACAGGACTCTCCCCTAAATTTTATTAAAAAAAACATGTATAATATAATAATAAAAAAAAAAAAAAAATTGAATTTTGGCTAAAAAATTAAAAAAAAAAATGAAATATATACCTTTGACTCCCTACTCCTTTATTTCCTTGTGCAAAACCTACTGTTGTAATACCTATACAGGTAATATCCACCATTTTTAATTTTCCAGTGTTCCCCCTGGGCAGTGGGTAATTAGTAGGCCCTCTGTTTAGCTGAAACCTTACAAGCTACAGTAGTAGTACCGTCTAATAGTATGTAGAGCGAGTGTAATGATTAATTATTGTGTATATTAATTTTTATGTTCTTTTTTCACAAACAAAGTTATTTTAGAAGAAAGCAAAATTATTTTTAAGTCGCAAATTTAGTAAGTTCCCTTTAAATTTTCAAAGAGTTGATATGCCACCGAAAATCAAAAAAAAAATTAAGTTTTAATTTTGCACCTATCCAGGGTTTTTAAATCTGAGTTATTTTGTCAACCTTCCTTAACGGTTCCCACTCTGGGATCCGGTTAACGGGAGGGGGCCACACCACGTTGTGAATCAGCCCAAAATTAATCAAGAGCTGATTCACAACGTGGTGATGTGAATTATTAAGACGGCGTAGGCCACCCTGAAGTAATGCCTAACAGCAGTTCCAGGGCGGCTCACAATAAGCCGGTCGAGAAGAAAAAAAAAGGGTTTTTAAATAGCACAACATTGCACTAGATTCAAACCACTTATATAAAACACAATACATTTTTTTTATTCTCTACTTCCAATATTTCGAATCAAGCACTTCCACTTAAACGTTTTCTGCCATCTCTCATTTTAATACGTTAATAAATAATAAAATATACAAATAAAAAAAAACACCTCAACATATTAACTCGGTCACTTGTAGTCGAGTACTAAACACAATGAGCTGTCTGTACACAACACATTATTAGTGTGACATTATTAGATAGTAATTTTGTGAAAAATGAGACAAATTATTGTGTTTTAACTTTCTTAGTATTCCAATAATAATCGACTATCAACGGCCGACGACATCCATAAAACCAGTTTAAGGGAGAAAATATCAATACTTTGTTAAAATTAGATAAAAACATGAATCAAATAAATTGCCGCCTACTTTATTTATAGTGCTGTTGATTATAAAAATTACTATGTATAATCAATACTATTATCTAACTACTAACTGTAGTATATGTTGTTATACAGCTTTGATATATCTTCTTTTACATTTATATCTTTGTACACGTTTTAAATTAGAAAATAATAAAGTAATATTTTTTTTTAGAAATAGATATTTTTGTTTCATAAAAATAAATTGTTCTGTTTGAAAAAATTTTAAATTAAATAAAAATAATTAATTTTTAAAAATTGTATACCTATTAAGATTTTTGCCGCCCTTCAAAATTTGCCGCCCGGGGCAAATGCCCCCAATGCCCCCCCCTAAATGCGGGCCTGCATATAATAGAAACGGGAGTATTGGAGTATAAAAACAAAAAAAAAAACTTAAAACCAAAAGTATTTCAGCTACGTAACAAATCCAAGAAGAAAATTTTGAAACCATATCTTTATTTTAACTGTGGTAGTATAAGATTGAAGTTTCCTTATTTAAATAACATGGAATTATTCTTGTCCAAAATTATCTTAAAGTCTTAAATAAATATTTTATTTAAAGTATGGGTTTTTAAAATTAAATAACTTCAAAAATAATAGGAGAATAGAATTCCAATTTACACTAAATTACGTAGAAAATCAAATCATTAAAATAAAACATTTTTTTAATTAGCATAAACCAAAATATACATTGTTAAACTACAATTTTTCGCTGATTTCAAATCTGCTGTTAGATTTTTTACATCGCTTCTTTTTTTGAAATTAATACTGATTTATAAAAACGAGCATTTAAATGAAAATTTAAATGATATATTCTGAACTATATTTCGTAAAGTTATATCCTATAGTATCGTATATATTAAGACATTGAAAAATTACCTAACCCTTTAAGATAAATAACTTAACGATGTTCAATTTTCATGAATTTTTTTTTAATGAAAGAACTTGATGAAGTTTACGCGCATAGTTTTTAATAAGGTATGATTTTAGTTTGTGCATGTTAATTTTGTTTACATTTAATGTTAATTTATGTAGTGTTCACTAAAACACCGCATTTAAAGTTTAATATTTAATAATTATTAAGTTTTCTTTTGCTTACTTGTTGTACTTAATAATCATTATTGGGTTATTATGAAGCGTAATTTTGAACATATCTATGTATTTTGTAGTCCTATTATTATTTAATTTATAAGTGGGACTATTATTTTGGAAAACTGCTTCTGGAGTAATACTACTTATCAAAACACACACCGTGCCCGCGCGTAGCCGTGTACTCCTATTGCAATCAGTGAACTTCAATAAGGACAGCCCAAAGGGCATAAACGCGCCAAAGGCTCATGAGACTAGGTTTGAGACGAAGCCTCATCTAGGCGATGCCTATTTTTATATTTTTCTGATATTTAGAAATATTCCGTGGCTAGTTACATCTATGATTTCATCCGCTGTTGAATTTCACTTTTAATCCATATTTTTTAGTTATTTTTTTATAACTTTTTTTGTATATTCATTATTTAATGAATGAATGTTAATGCTCGTTTTTACCTAATTAGTAATAATATCAAAATTAAATAAAAACTATAGTAAAAAACAATTGCAAATTTAAAATCAGAGCAAAAAATTAATCTAGAAAAATATATTTTTGAAGTCTTATTTTACTTCGTGTTTTTTTAAATATGAGTAACCAAAAATGTTTTTCTTGGCACTCAAAGTAGACAAATGGCTTTTCATTATAAATCAGTAAATAAATAATAAGTTAGACTTATCACAAGCTATAGATTACACACGATTGCGTTACTTATTACTAATGGTAATCACTTGGTATATTTGTATTAATATTATCCACTATTCTCAACATAACGATTTTATATTACTCAAAAACAACAATAGCACTATAACCAATCTGAATGCCAGTTAGGGAAAAAAATAATTATTATAATATTATTTAATTATTTAATTTTACATTTAAAATACAAACAAGGCCCTGAATAAAAAATACAGATTATTGTACTTCATAGAACAAATATCAGAGTTAAAAACAAATTATATAAAAATCTTATCTATTAAAATAAATAACTTACAGGAACTTTTATATTTAAAAATAGAAGGAATGACAAAATAATTGTTGCTTTATAAGTTACAAGTACGTCGATAAACTACATATTAATTATATAATTTTGTAAATGCTATATATATGTATATCACTTTAAGTGAACATATCTTTTAATTATGACAATAGTGGGGAGAACAAGCTTCTGAGAAATGTATGGTACGTCTTTTTCCTGATTCTCTTGTATCAGGAAACCGGCACAAGTAAGCTGTGAATGAACGCCCAAGACATACTTTACGTTCACTCGTGTTNTCAGGAAACCGGCACAAGTAAGCTGTGAATGAACGCCCAAGACATACTTCACGTTCACTCGTGTTGCGAACGTTCACCTGTTTATATTGTATCAAAATGCGTTTCTCTCCTATAATTTCATATCGACATATTATAATTGCTCCGATACAAGTACTGCTGGTATTCTTTTTGATTACATCGAACTTTAATGGTAAGTTATTTATTAATTTAATAATTTTTTAATATAAAATTATTTAAAATTAAAATTATATCGAACAAAAATACTTTGTTATTGATATAACTGTAAATTAATTAAATCAATGAATATTTTTGCTCAATCAATTTTTAAAAATGGTTAAAAACTTTTCATATAAATATTTCATGCATAATTTCTTTCAAATAAAATAAGACTCAAGACTTAATCTTTTAATTGTAAAATAAACAAAATAAAACGAATTATTAATAGTTTAATTATATCATAATATTTTTTATTTAGTTATATTAATATACGAAATGATTCTACTTAAAATAATGTGTTTGTGTCATAATATTTATATTGGAAAATAAAAAGTACATAATGATAATTACCATAATATCAATAACAATAATAATTAAAATAACATATCACACTTATGTGTAAAATTTAAAAAAAAAGGCAATAATGTTAAAAATAGTTTGCAGAAAAAAACAACTATAAATAATAATATGTTCAAATTAATTGAAAATATTATTTTAACATTTTGTATAATTGCAACATAACATTAAAATATTTATTAGTAAGTTTTACATATATTTAGATAAATGAAGAGAAACATACAATAATTGATTAATTTTAATTTAATATTCAGTAATTATTTTACAATGAAAAAAAATTAGTTCGATTTATATAAACAATATACTGAAGATTAATAAAAATTTGATTTTTTATATATGTCTATAAATAATCTGATAATATAATATTTATATTCATTTTAAAGTTATTATCAAAAATTCTACTCATGCATTAATCATTAAACTCTTTAAGTATCTTCTTAACAATAATAATCGCGTTATAGAGGCAGAGATTTTGTTTTCATTTATTTACCTCTGTACTACTGTCTAGCTTCTTATAAAAGTTTTTCTCTGGTATTTTTAAAATATATTCTCATGTGAAAACACTATAATTTTGATTTATATATAAATAAACAGTATACAATAAAATTATTTAAATTATTATAAGTTAAAATATTTTGTAAAATATTCGATTAAATAAATAAATTCACTACCTTGTGTTGTTTTTCAACATGTTTCAATATTAATTAAAACCAGCACAATGGGGACGTGGCATAGTTAGGTCCAGTATAGATGATATCTGACAGTAATTAAAATCACTATCATAAAAAACGTTTCGATGTAAATCTGTAGATAGTATTTAATTTTAATAAAATTGATGGATTATTGCAAAAGCTACATTATTTCCTATTTCCTTACTTATATCCTGATATCATTATACTTGACCCAACTATGCCACTGTGCCACTAACCCACTGTATTGAGTTTTTTATTTTTAAAATAATGATCTTTTATTGACAAATGAATCAGGTATTAGGCTACAAACTAGGTAGGCTTAATCTCAATCTTTCGAGAACATTCCTTTTTTTGGACTATTATTAACGATTCTATTGTTTAGTTGAGTTTAAGGTCAAAATGTTAAATTCTATTGCTCAAGTTAGTTATTTGATTATTAAACTTTTCTTTTTTTGACACCTTTCACAAAAGTTATAACTACCATTAAAAGTGCTCTGATAAATTTGCGACAAATAAATACAATATTACTTGTTAAATTCAAGGCTAGAATAAGAAATTTTAGTCCAACGACTAAAATTTTTACCAGTTAATTGAATTTATGAAATATAGGTATGTTTGGGTTGGGTTTATTGCATAAATTTATACAATAAAATTTGTTTTGAAAAAAAATTATGCTTTTGTGCCATATTTTTCTTTTTATCCTCAATTTTGAGGAGAGTATCGTGACTTTTTCAATATTTTACAAGTAAAATTTGGGCGTCGTTATGTATAATTAAGACCATAAACTGTAGGAAAATACAGATTGGAAATAAAATACAATACTGTATATATAAGTTTAATATTAATAAAATTTATCTCGAAGTGTATTACACTTGATTTTAAATATTTTTGAATTAATGTTACAGGAATAGTTTTTTATTTTTAAAAATTCAATTAAAATTTTGTACGTCAGACTATCAAAATATTATCTGAATAATACATGCTAAATATTTAAAAAATAATGTTATTTTATTATAGATTCTTCAATAAATATTAAAATTATAGCGCTAAATTAAATCTATAACAATATTTTTAATTGTATATTAATAAACCTAACTAATAAAAAATGATCTAATTAAGACTGTTCGATAACAATTTTTGGCCTATTATTTTAGAATTTATAACTATTTTAAAGTATAAAGTGGAGTGAGATGTGGATTATGGTATTTTTATCATTAATCATTACTCTATCATGTTCTTTCTTCATTCTATATTAAAGAATGTTCATAATTTCAAAGTACTAGTTCAAAAATTGTTATCAAACACTCATTTTCTTAATTAAATCAATTTTATCTTATTACCTAGTTAAATATTTATGGCGTCATTAAAAAAAATAAAGTTAACACCCTTATAAAGTATGATGAATAAATTTAAAAAATACTTAATAATTGATGAATCAAGAAATATATAAAATTAAAAATACCAAAAAGAATTTTTGTTAATACTTATATTATTTGGTAAGAAATCGAGTAGGTAATATTAAAAGAATGTATGTTATAAATTACTTCAAAAGATACAATTTTTAAATAATCTACTAAAGAATTATTTATCTTTGCTAAGACAGTCCTTATTTTACTATTAAAATAATAGAATATATATTATAAATTCTTATTCACGTTTGTCAATTATCTTTTTTTTTTAGTTACATAAAATTATATCTATGGAAACTTAATAAATTTGGATTTAGTCATACTGTCATGTATACTTCATTCAAAATTTTTAATTCTGCAAAATAGTGTATTTAATGATTATGCATCAAATGTTAACACTGATACTCAGAGCTATCCTTAAAATGTGTGGTCATAAGCATAATTCTTTTAGCGAGATCTACAAAAAAAAAATGTGATAATTCCAAAAGTTAGTATTCTCTCATATGTCAAAATATTAATGTTCGTTAAGAATTTTTCCTATTACCTCTACCAGTCCTTGCTTACCAATATACAATATGTTTAGTTCATTTTATAAGAAGGCTATTTACTTTTATTATCATAGTTTAAAATGTACAAGTAATTTGTGCTTGTTTAATTTAATAGTATAATACTGTCATAGAAAAACTCAAATTAGTCTAGTAATATACGTAAATCGTTGTATTTAAAAAATCTTAGGATTTTTCGTGAGCGCAGAGCCCAAAGAGCTTGCCCTGGCTTTAAGATAGCCCTACTGATATTTCAAGCAATTTATTCTGATTATTGTATTTTTGTTCTTTTCCTTATCTTTATAATACCATTTTATATAGTGAAAAAAAATATGTAGGGTATTCAGCCTAAACAACTGAACGCCCTGTAAATTTCAATATTATCCCATCAATAATTAGCCAATTATTATAGATTTTATGGTTAATTTTCTTAAAAGGATTTATGTATTAGGTACAATTATATATTTAAGTCTAATAACTAAACAATAACTTTAAGAGGTTATTAACATTTCTATACATAGGTGGGAATAGGAGTGCGGTCTGAAAAAGTACAGGAAAAAATAGCAAAACCTGCGACTAACCTTTAGCCAATACTTTAAATTGTTAATAATTTGTTAAAAATAATAAATTGAGAAAATAGTGCCTTTATGAAACCAATAAAAAAAGTTCAATATTATACTTATTTTTTGATTAATTAAATGGACAATAACAAAATAATCACTCTTTATATATAAACATATTCTATTTCTTTTCATTCCTTAATCGCCTATACCATAGGGCTGTATTCTTAAACCAAATTCTTAAGACCAACTTATAATATGTTAAAAAAGTATCTAAAACTTTTGATTTGGTGATATTTTTTTTATTAAATAGCTCAACTTTTAGACTATTACTTGAAAATTTCAGATAAGTAGATTTAAAAAATATTTTCATTTTACACTGTCGTGTAATTCACACATTCAAGAGCTTTCAAAAAATCATTTATTTAAAAGGGCTCCTTTAACATAATAATTATCTCATTAAAAAAATTTTTGAACTTTTTATTTTTATGTTTTAATTTAAAAATAACAACCTTATTTTTGATAAAAATCTAGCAAATCCCTTAGGACACCAAAATCCCCAGTTATCCTAAAAATTGCTTTAGCAACTTTTAGTTAAATATGTTACTGACGTTGCAGAAAATTCAAAAATTAGGTTCTTATAATTTTATTTAAGTTTCGAGAAAACATGCGATTGTATTATTAAAAGAACCAATTTTTTACAGAAGTTATAAAAGGAAAATTCCACTATTTTACTTTATACTAAACATTATACATTACACATATTATTATACTAAAGCATAATATTTTGTAAAAAAAAACATTAATTTCTATAAATGAAAAATTTTAATCACATAACGTCCATGTAATTTACTATTTATATAGTAGTTATATTTCAAATAATTCATCAAATTCTTATAATTTTTATGAAATCTGTGAAAGTAGAAATAATATAATATAAATCATAAATTGCACAATTTTTTCAATAAAAAATCTTAAATAAAACGTTTGCAAATATACTCAGCGTAAGTTCAACAGTCACGGTCTAGGTAATTTTTCGTTAAAAAGAACACTAACTAACGAATGTAAGCACATGCACTTACGGTTATGATTTGTCGGTCAACACGATTTCAATATTTCATGTATGTAACTAGTTACTGTTTAAAAGAGCGTGGAAACTACTAGGTGTAACTACATAAGGATTATTTATTAGAACATGTATTACTTTAGGCTATTTAAGCACCTAATCTATTATTTTAGATAAAAAAGAATACAGGTTTTCTACTACGTTTGTTCTCCTATGACTAAATAACGGAAAAATATACGATGATAGATATTAATTGAACAGATAACTAATGAATCGTCTAACTTATAAGACCACCAAAAATAGATTTAAATAAATTTATACTAAAAAAGAAGACAAAAACAATAC